GAAACATTTCCAGAGTTTAACCAGTATTTTTTTAACAATACATAGTTCTATTTAGCTCTAATAGCTTAGTTCTACATGGCCCAAGCATCCCAAACATCTCCCAGATGCTTCAGTGCAGTTTTGATGGTGTAAATCAGACACACTGAGACCTTCCACCTCTGGTCACAAAGTAATGCTGTGGATTTGGGCTTCTTGTCTAAAAAAATAACTATTGTGGCTTCTTATTTGCTAGTATTTGCAGTGCAAGGACAGGATCAGACAGATGGAAGAAATCTTTGCTGATGCCACAAATGAGAGTAGAAAGCAAGAAATGGGAGGGAAGGACCCATCTCCACCTGAGCTGCTAAAAAAGATTGAACAGGTAACATCACTTCTCCCATCACAGGCAATCCACGGGGCTTGGCTTCTTTTAGAAAACCCAAATCATGTCTTTTATTTTGAAAATAAACTCTCTGTAAGAGGAATTAAGATAATTATGATGGGCTATTGTGAACTCTGGCCCAGTGTCTGCTCTCCAGGTCCCCTGGACATGAGGCATTTTGACTTCTTCCAGCAGAGGCTGGAGGGGGAGCTCTGTGAGGTGCACTTGGCTCCACAGCACCTTCTGCTAACTGCTCCATTTGCATCGTTGGCATTTCAGTGCAGACCCTCCCACCTCACTAGGGGAAGGCACACAAAAGGCAGCAGAGGGAGATAAATGCAGAATAATAAACTGCTAACAAAGGAGTTTGAGAAAACTGATGGTGAAAGTGTTTGTTTCTGGCTGCTCAAACTATTATTTCAGCAGCTCGAAGAAATCACAGAGCAGCTCATGCTGCACCTTCCCCTAGCATTTCCTTACAGCCTCTGTTGTGTCCTCTGTGCTGCAGCTGGAGGCAGAGCTCATGCAGAAGGAGGAGAAGGTGCTGAAGATGGATCTCCTGTGTGGGTATGTGTCCTGGCTGACGGACAGGATCTGCACTGCCGCGGAGAACAGGAGGCAGCCCACGCTGCTGTTGGCTAGGAGGGTAAGGAGGCACTGCACACTCTGCTTGGCAGCCTGGGCACACTGAAATAGGATCTGGGGGAGAGGTGATTCTCTTGCAAATTACAGAAGTGGCTGGAAATGTTGATAGGCAAATCATAACTGCATGAGGTTCAATGAGGCTCAG